CACACACACACACACACACACACACACACACACACACACACAATGTCCTATGTAGGGTGACGAAGGCTGTAAATATTTACAGGAGTAGATAGCCTCATCTTTCTCCCAAGGAGTGGCTATTGGATTTGAACTGCCAGCTTTGTGTTAACAATCCAGCTCTTATTCAACAGCATCACCAAACTCACTGCCAGCGAGTCAATATGCTGACTCATAGCAACCCCCTGTGGGATTCTGAGACTGTAACTGTTTCAGGGACTAGGAAGCTCAGCCTCTCTCCCTCAGAGCTGCTGGTAGTTTTACACTGCCAATCATGAGGATCACAGCTTAACCCGTAACCACTATACCACCCAGGCTCCATCATGAGTGTGCATATATGTGTGTACAAAATTGGAACACATCTCTATTTTCAATTGTCTGTTATTCCTAAGTAGACTGCCAGGACTTTCTTCTGCGGCACCTCTGAGTGGACTCTAACCTCCAAGTTTTCCCTTAACATGCAAGCAACTTAACCATTTATACCATCCTGAGACTATATGATAAGTATATGTATGTATGTATGTATATATATATATATATATATATATATATAGAGAGAGAGAGAGAGAGAGAGAGAGTCACTATGAGTCAGGCTTGACTTGAGGGCACCTAGCAACACTACCATATGCTTGTGGGTGTATAGTGTGTGTGTGTGCGTAGACTGTGGAAAATGTTCTGTGACAATATGCTAGACAATAATTAGCTTTGCAAAAGGTTTTTCAGATGCTGGAAAATAAAATGCCCCAAAGCCTCAAAACCAACATCAGCAGGTCGAGCCCTGTGCACAGCGATGTCTGACCATAGAGGTTTCCCTTTAAACAAAGAAAAGGCTACAGCCCTGTTACCATTGGGGCTGTGGCCTAACAGGAAATGTTGCTGATGATGATAGGACAGGAATGGCGGGGGGCAAGCACGCTGAGCATCATCCCATGGCAAAGGATGGCTAAGAACCAAATCTGCCCACAACAGAGTGCAGGGCTTGAGTGTTGGCATTCCGAAGGCTACTAACCAGGGCTCATGGGCCAGCTGAGTAACCTCGCTCTCACCCTTTGTAAAGTGGGAAAGAAAGCAGCGGCCTCCCACGGCTGCTGTGAGAATCCAAGGAGAATTTGTACCATCGTCGCAATGTGACTGGTCCCCATTGTCACCGCTAACGGAACACCAGGAAGCAGAAGTGGGACGCGAGGGCTAAGCGTGTGAAGACTGGGTCAGAACCATTCCAAGTTGTGGGGCCTCAGACAAGTCTCATCCCCTCTCTGGGCCACACATTGCCTCATGTGGAGATGTCAACCAAGTCCACGTGGAAGAAGCACACCAACATGCGTGACCCAAGGATTGTAAACCATATAATGCAAAGCTGAGGAGGGAATAGTATTAGAGCCTAAATTGTGAGACTCTGGTTTGCAGAAGGGTATGGAGGACAGTGGGAGCCCAAGATACATTTGTGAGATTTACACAGGAGATAAGCCTCTGGTGTTTCCCTCTATCCACAACCGAGGGATGGGCATAAAGTACTTACCAGAGAGCATTGGAGAGGGATTCATAGGAGATCAGAATGATAAGCCTGACTTGAACGGTTCAAGCCTTGTCACTTGATTCCCCCTCCGATACATGTTGGGCCTGATCTGGCTTAAAACATTTTCTCTCTGTGTGCGGTTTCCCCCCCTCTTATTGGAGTTTATCTCTGATGTAATTTGTCTTGAATATTTGTTACATGTTTTTCTGTATATGATACCCAGGATTGATGAACCTAGAGAGACAACAAGTAATGTAAGAGTTCCTGGGGGGGTCCAGTGGGGAGAGAGTAAAGGGGAGTTGATAAGAAGGAGTTCAAGAAGGAAGAGAATGTTTTGAAGCAGATTGTGTTAGCAATGTACCATACTGCTTGTACAATAGGGATTGAACTGTGGAATGATTTGATCTCTGTACTAGCTCCCAACACAATGGTTTGGGGGGGGAAATTCCACATCTGTAAAATGAGCTCATCTGGCACACATCTCTGAAGGCTGTTATGAACGTAGCTGAGTTTGTAACTGCAAAGTCCTGAGCAGGTAGCAGACACTGAGTGCGTGCCCCGACAGCTGCACGGGTCCCACTCTGCTCCAGGTGGGCCTTGCTTCTGCAACGAGCGAGCATTTCAATCCCATCGTGCAACCGACAGCTCTTCACAGAGCACCGGCCACCGGCAGCACGCCATTAGGTGGTGTTCCTGGTAGTTGAAAAGCCTGTAGAACAGAAGCGCTTGTCCGACCTTAAAGACCACGAACCTTGAAACAGGAAACGTGGTGGTAACAGGAGTCCACATGGGGTGTGACCACCGCCAAATGCATATGTTGATAGAGGGTCGTAACATTGATCGACTGATGAGGAGGAGGAACACCTGGAAAGCTCAGGTGTTACACAAGGCCTTTAGGTTCTCCACCTTCCTCATGCCGTGACCCTTTCATACAGTTTCCCATGTGGTGGTGGCCCTTCAACCATGAACTTATTTTCGTTGTTACTTCATCACTATCATTTTGCTACTGTTATGAATTGGGCGGCCCCTGTGAAACGGTTGTTCGAGTCCAAAGGGGTCGCAACCCACAGGTTGGGAACCGCTGAGAGTAATAGGATGTGCGAAGGAGTCCTGGCGTGCCACAGCGAAGTGGTCCATGGCTAACGAAACTGTCAGTGGCTGCAGCCCACTCTGCAGTATCCAGGGAGAAAGATCTGGTGATCTACTCCCCTAAGGATTAGAGCCTAGAAAGCCTCATGGAGTAGTTACAGTCTGCCATATGGAGTCGATAGGGCTGCTAACCCCAAGGTCAGTAGTTTGAAACCACCAGCTGCTCCACCAGAGAAAGGTAAGGCTTTCTACTCCTGTAAAGCGTTACAGTCTTGGAAACCTACAGGGGCAGTTCTACTCTGTTCTATAGGGGTGCTGTGAGTCGGCATCGACTTGTTAACGGGGACTTTGTGATCCAGGGAAGATAAACAGTAAAATCCACGACCTGAGGAGGGAACTATATTAGAGCTTAAATTCTGAGCACCCCGTTTGCAGAGAGCTATAAATGATGGTGAAAACTGAGATCTATTTGCATGGTCCACATTTGCATTAAGTTGCTGGTGAATCCCCTCTGACCATTAACCAGAGAGACGAACAGCCTTGCTATCTGAGAGAGTACACTGGAAAGTGGATTCATGCAGCTGTAGTGAGATTAAATATTTTATAAAACTATTGACCGGTATCCTATGCAGGTCTATAGTCAATAAAACTATTAAACTAAAAGAAAATAAGGAATGAACAGCACCTAACAACAAGAAGTGCTGGTGGTGTAGTGGGTTGAGCGTTGTGCGGTGAACGACAAGGTCAGGGGTTGGAATCCACAAGCTGCTCCTCTGGAGAAAGATGAGGTTCCCGAGAAGATTTACAACCTTGGAAACCCTATGAAGTAATTCTCCTCTCCCCGAGAGGCTCACAATGAGTCTGAATCAAGTGAAAGGTGGTGGATTGGGGGGCTAACAACAACAATAAGAGTCTGAGAGACAGGGAACAGGGAGCAGGGAGCGCTTTACACTGTAGGGCAAGAGGAATATCAGAAACAAGACATCCTCCCGTAAGGTTCTAACTTGATTGTTGAGGAATGCCTCCTTCTGTGCCTGTATTGTTGTTGTTGTTGTTGTTATTGTTCCCCAATACGATGTGCAGGCTTTTCAAATCAAATGTCTATTTTTCTGATTTAACATCAGTCACGTGATGTGAAAGGACATTTCTATGTCTTCATGCTTCCTTCTTCAAAAACATTCCCTGAGCCCTGGTCTGATTTGCCCCCCTATTTTAAGTCTCCCTAGAATAAATCGACTTGGTTATTTTAAATATATATATATCATCAAGTCAGCCGGATGCTCTGAGACATAAGAGGTGTGGGTATTCTCAGGAAGTGAAAGTGAGTTGTTAAAAAAAAAAAAAAGTGAGACATTAATGGGAGACAACACATCAGAGTTCTCACAATCAGCAGACACCCCAAACAGTCAAGTTTATTTCAAAACATAAGGTCAACTCCATATTAATAAATACTAACACTGGGTGTACAGAAATACTGTGTGTTGTAAGAAAGCGGTTTACTAAGAACCAAGAGGGGCTGGGGGAAGGTGGTTCCGCTTCTCCCGGCTCTGCCAAAAACAGGCTGAGCGTAAGTCGGAGCAGCCTGAGGGATGCTGTGTGGGACTGGGGGAAGAACAGAGAGGAGCCAGCAAAGCCCGGAGGAGTTTTCTCCCTGGGTGGTGAAATGGTTACTAACGGCAAGGTTGGCGGTTCCAGTCCACTGAGAGGAGCCTGGTAAGCAAGCCCAGAAGATGACCGCATCGAAAGCCCGGTGGAGCGGAGTATTACGGCCACGGTGACTGGGAGTTGGAACGGTCTCACTGGCCTCCGGTTGGCTTGTTTTGCCTCACTGCAGCCTGGACTTTTAAACCGAGAGTCGAGCGCTCGGGACGCCTCCAGCCACGTAGCTCCTTCTATGAGTGTGATCATTCTCAGTTTTGAAGGAGACTCACTAGTTAGTGGCTACAATGGAACACTGGAAACAGGTCCTTGAATCTAGGTCAGATCATTCTGGCTCAGGGCCGAGAAGGAGCCATTCAGCTTGTGCTTGGAGGCTCAGGCGCAGAGCACAAGATCATTCACCGGACAGTGGCACACGTGCCATGGGCTGACAGCCGCCTCCCTGAGTTCTGTCGGGCCTACGGTCCTTTCCCCGCTGGCTTGGCGCAAGGGCATCATCCTGTCAGCTGGCCTGCGGCCTAGCCCTTCACCCTCCGGCGTTTGGAGCCCTTTCTTTCCGTGGAGAAATCCATCTGGCTGTTTTCCCCACTTAGGCACTCGAATAAAATGGAATCGTGCCAGTTTGGGGGTCCTTTCTCTCGGTGGTAACAAACAGCAGAGAAATGCTGCTAAATGGCACAGTCTGCGCAGTGCCCTCAATGGTGCCCAGACATGGGCAAGGAGGACCCTAACTACCTGTGGCCACCTCGGTGCTTATCCTCCAAGACGGGGCTTTTCTGACTGCAGTAAGTGACTAAAATCTCCAACGTAAAAGCCATCACTTTAGCGCCGGCTCTCAGAAAGCTTCTATGTAGGACACGGGAAAAAGACAGTGTGCCTTCGCTTTGTGACTTGATCATGGGCAGAAGACGGCTAAAGAGAACAAAGGAGGTTTATGCCCAATACTCTTAATTCAGAAGTGCAGCGTTTGCTTAAAAGGGAAGTAGCAGCAGTAGAACCTAGCCTGGTTTGCATCAAGGACTAAGTTACAGTCGCTGCTGCAAAGTTAAAAGGCAATTAGACTATCAATACCGTGACAACTCCGAAAATGCGTGCCGGCACATAGGGAGGCAGTTGAAGGCCAACCACACAGCCCAGGAAGCCCCCCAACCAGACAACTGGAGGCACCTTAACCTCCAGGGGGGACCTTAGAACCATGGGGCAGGGCAATCATTTTTTTAAAGTAGGAGAGACCTCAGAGATCTCTTAGTTCAGCTGATTTTTTTTGCAAAAGAGGTTCCTGAGTTGCCCACCCAGCTGGTTGTCTCTGCAGGGGTGGGGAGTGCCCAGAAAGGGTCAAATGTGAGCAAGACGGCGCAGGTGAGCATCAAGCACATGGTTAATTACGTTCCAAATCCCTCGAGGAAGCCAGCTTCCCACCCCAGACCCTTTCTCGTTGATTTATCACAGAAGAAGACAGCTACCGGCCCACACGTCTCTGCGGGGGTTCCCCCAGCAGGGTGAGGAGAAGCTGCAGGCAGCTTTCACTTCCCAGTCCGGGAGACCACCTGGATGGCTTTGATCCACTCGGTGCGCTCCTTGGGGGTGGCTGCTTGCAAGAAATAGTGCACCTCGTCAGCTGTGATGATCTCAAAAAGGTTCTCCTCCTCGTTCTTCCTGCCTGGTGAGAGAGACAAGGAGAGGTAGACCCTGTCCCAAAGGCACCAGCAGGGTCATCTATCCACCCTCGCCCTGCAGATCACCAATCCCCAGGGTTCTGAGAGCGCTAAGGAAACTAAAATGTGCTTTTCAAGAGCATACTTTCATTTATGAGAGGGTTCAAGGGCAGCAGTTCAGTCCTGGACACATTCCTGGCTGGACAGAAGCATTCTCCTGGTGAAGATAGCGTGTCTGAACACGCACTGCTTTCTGCATGTATATCACACTTAGATAAAAGAACTAAGAATGTAATGGGGGGGGCGGGGGGGATGGTGGTTTTCAAATGTACCCACATTGATCATATTCATTCTCCCACATTGTCTGATCATATTTAGTCTATATAGGATATCGTGTAGTATATATAGTATAGTTTCATATTAGCGACCTAGATGAATAGTATAGTATGTTCATATAGTATATACTATAGATATACACTATTGACATAGTATAGATATACATGAAAAGAAAAGGTTTCTCTTTGAAGGTTTTACTTGACTTCTTGAAAGTACACATATATATTTAAGCACACACATATGTACTTATATAGTGGTTATACATACGTAGTTATATAACTACAATATAAGTATATTTTATGTACAAATATGCAGTTAGATATTGTTTTTTTGTGAGATGCCATTGAGTCTTAGAAAAGAGGTAAAAGAGGTCTTATGCAGCAGATTTGCCTCATGCAATGTGTTGTTTAATCTCTTGACTGCTGCTTCCATCAGCATTGACTGTGAATCTAGCTACACAAGATGAAACCCTGAACAATGCCAATTTTTTCTCCACTTGTCAACATGTTACCTATCGGTCCAGTTGTGGGGCTTTTGGTCTCACCATGAAGAACAGGGTGACCCACCACCCCGTCCAGCGTCACCCACCCTCACCGTTCTTCTGAGGTCAGCGCCCGTTGTGACAGCCACTGTGCCCATTCATCGTATGGCGGGCCACCTTGTTCCCATTTGTTTGCTGCTCCTCCACTTTACTAAGCATGAGGCCCTTCTGCAGAGGCTGTCCTGTCCTGACAACATGTCCAAAGGACGTGAGATGAGGCCTCACCATCCTTGCCACGAAGGCACATTCTGGCTGGACTTCTTCCAAGATCGAGTCAATTGCTCTTTTGGCAGCCCTTGGTATTTTCCAAATTCTTTGCCGGCAGCGCCATAATTCAAATGCATAGATTCTTCTTCAGTCATCCTTATTAAATGTCCAAGTTTCACATGCGTGGGAGGCATTTGAAAATATCTTGGCTTGGGTAAAAGAGGTCTTATGCAGCAGATTCGCCTAATGCAATGTGTTGTTTGATCTCTTGACTGCTGCTTCCATCAGCATTGACTGTGAATCTAGCTACACAAGATGAAACACTTAACAATGCCAATTTTTTCTCCACTTGTCATCATGTTACCTATCGGTCCAGTTGTGGGGCTTTTGGTCTTATGGATTACATTGAGTGGTAATCCTACTGAAGGCTGGAATCCAGACCTTCAGCAGCAAGTGCTTCACGTCCTTCGCAGTTGCAGCAAGGAAGGCTGTGTCACCTGTATACCACAGGTTAATAAGCCTTCCTCCAATCCTGATGCCACATTCTCCTTAATATAATCCAACTTCTCTGGTTACTTGCTCAGCATACAGATTGAATAAGGTTGACAAGAAAGATACAACCTTGATGCACATCTTTCCTCATGAGCACAATGAAGTGTTCTGGAATTCCTATTCTTCCCCAAGACTATCCATCATTTGTTATGATCCACACAGCTGAATGCCTTTGCATAGTTAATAAGGCACAAGTAAACCTCTTTCAGGTATGCTCTGCTTTCAGCCAAGATCCATCGGACATCAGCAACAATATTCCTTGTTCCATATCCTCTTCTGATTGAAGCCTGAACCTCTGGCAGCTCTCTGCCATGGACTGCTGCCGCTGTTGTTGGATGATCTTCAGGAAAATATTACCTGCAGGTGGTATCTACAATGCTGTTCTATAATTTGCACATTCTACAGGGTCATCTTTCAGTGGAATGGGCACAAATATGGATCTCTTCCAGTCAGTTGTCACCCAAATTTCTCGGCATAAACAAGTGAGGGTTTCCAATGTCCATCAGCTTGTTGAAACAGTTCATTCGGTCGCTCTTCAATTCCTGGAGCCTTGCTTTTGGCTAATGCTTTCAATGAAGCTTGGATGTCTTCCTTCAGTACCATTGGGTCTTGCTCACATGTTGCCTCTTGAAGTGGCTGAATGTCAACCAGTTCTTTTGGGGACAGTGTTTCTGTGTAGTCTTCGCAAGCTTCCCTTTGACATTTTCCGTTCAGCTCCTTGACTTCATCCTTTCTTTCATGTGCCTTGGCTACTCTACAATTAAGAGCAAGTGCTAGAGTCTCTTCTGACATCCACTTTGATCCTTTCTTTTCTTCCTGTCTTTTTAATGACCCTCTGCTTTCTTCGTGTATGGTGTTCTTGATGTCATTCCCACAGCTCATCGGGTCTTCTGTCATTAGCGTGCAATGCATCAAATCTGTTCTTGAGATGTTGTTGATATGTGGAGGGGATATATTCAAGGTTGTATATTGGCTCGTGTGGACTCTTTTTCAATTTCCTAAGCTTCAACCTGAACTTACAAATGAGCAATTGATGGTCTGTTCCACAGTCAGCCCCTGGCCTGGTGTGAGCTGCTGATATTGAGCTTCTCTAGCATCTCTCCCACAGATGTAGTCAATTTAATTTCTGTGGATTCCATCTGGAGAAGCTCACGTGTATAGTCACTTCTCATGTTGTTGAAAAAGACATTTGCTATGAACAAGTCATTGGTTTTGCAAAATTCTATCATGCAATCTCCAGTGTCATTTCTATCACCAAGACCATGTTTTCCAACTGCTGATCCTTCCTTTTTGTTTCCAGCTTTTGCATTCCAATTGCCACTAATTATCAAAGCATCTTGACTGCATGTTTCATTGATTTCAGAATGAAAACATTGGTAGAATTCTTCAACTTTTGCATCACTAGCTTGGTGGTTGGTGTATAAATTTGAATACTGTTGTATTGATTGGATTTTCTTGAATTCGGATAGATATAATCTTATCACAGACAGACTTGTACTTCAAGATAGACCTTAAAATATCCTGTTTGACAATGAATGCAATGTCCATGCCTCTTGAATGTGTCAACCCCAGTATCGCGAATCATATGATATTCAGATTCAACAATGTTTGATGAGCTAACACCCCCTTTTCACTACTAATCTAAAGCAAGAGCCAAGCCTAATATATTGTAAGCAAGAGGATCCATAGATCCACCACTAGTACCATCAAGATAGTTGGAATTGTTTTTTAAGGACTAACTAAGATTGTATCTACTGAAATATAAAAGGTGTTGTGCTAGCCAATACTGTGATAAGATTTAAATACTCATTCATTTCAAATTAAAAAGTGCATGCTCCCTTTCCCAAAACGCCCTTTCCTGTAGGAAAGGGGCACAAGCAGAGTCAAAGATAGGGAAAGGCAAGGCTTTTGCAGCGACAGCGTTTTCCATGTCAGCCTGGAAAACACTATACCTCCCATAGTAGCAGGACAAACCCAGGGTCTGGCATGTCTAGACGACATCTTCCCAGGGGCACCATTTTTCCCCAGCATTTGAAAGTCTATCTTCATAAACATGGTTATTTCTGCACCGAATCACAGACTTCTGTTCGGGAAGGGACCCAGAAGTCTTCCAGTACAATCCACTCGTTTTAAAAGGAAGGATGAAGGGCCGGGGAGTCAGGTGACTTGCCCAACATCCTGCAGCTAACTTACCTGCACAGACCTGATTCCAATGCGGGCGCTTGTTTCCACTTAGCAGACTGCCTCTCGACACAAATGTTCCCTTTGTTCTGGGAGCTTTCCTGGCCTAGGTTTGTAAAAGAACCCCCGCCCCACTCCGCCTTTCCCATCCGCCGCCCCTTAAAGACTACAGCAGCTCAGACCCAGATGTCAGGAAATAACAAGGTAACCATTTAAATCACTTCTGATGGTTTTTCCTCGTCTTGCTCAAGGATCTACTCTAGGCATCCACAAGTTCACCTCCTAAAGGCCTGGGGAGCCAAACACTGGGAGAGAGCAGCTTTTGGTATGTCCCCGGTTTTCAGTCAGTTAAGTTGTTTACATCAGTATCTGACAGACTGCTCTTGGCTCGGGGTTCCTAGGTCCAAAAGAGTGTAGACTCCTCCTCTCCCACAGAAGTGTCCTCTTACCATCTGAGTTGCTCTCCACGGAAGTCACCACACAGCCTCTCAAGTGAATCGCTCCCAGAGGGTCTTCCCCCTAGGGAAGAGAGGGTTGTTCTCATGTATTCACTGCATGGATACAGCTCATTCTGTTGGTGCAAAGCCCCACAGACTCACTCTGGTATCGCTCAGGTCCCCCAGAATAAATCAGAGCAGGAGGAGGTTCAAGGACACCTGTTCTAGCTCTGTGCTTCTTCCAGACCCTGAACCACCCACCTTCCATGTTAGTGGGCTCAGGGGTATAGGATGAGAAGACCCAAATCAATCTGGTCTTTGGATCTCAAGGGATCTCAAGGTGGAGATGCTGGGGTCCCCACATCTCGCTATCCCATAAAGAAGACTTGCTTACTTCCAAGGCTCTTCAGCCCACCCACCTGAGATGAAAGGACAGTCCTTGCAGAAGGAAACCCAAGCATCCTATACTTCAAGCAAAGGCTGCAGACCCAACTCTGACAGTGTCATCTTTACAATGTTGTTTTATTTTGTGGAGTAAAATCCTGCTTCTATGTAATCAAAACCCAGATTATAGACTTCAGTGTTCTCAGGAGAACATTGACCAGAGGGAAGAATCAATAACTTTTTTTCCATATTAAAACTAAAAAGAAGTGTCCAATTGATATCGTTCCTTGAAATATCCGATAGGAGTAAAAATAAAAATGATTGTATTATCTAAAGAAATCTCAGTATACTGATGTCTTATTACATAATTGAGCCAATGTTGGCCTCGAAGTCCTAAGATCTCAGTTCAATGCAATGAGAATGAGCAGGAATGAATGGAGGAGGGAGTATGAATAAGCAGGATGGTGGAGGGAGGAAAAAGGAATGTCAACAGCGCAGAAAGAAGAATGGGTAGCACCATGAGTCAATGCAGTGGTGGCTTCTAGCTGAATGACTTCGTCCACCAGAGAAACTCACCCCAGCAGGGTCATAGTAGTGCAGGTAGGCAGGGTCTTCCCGCAGAACGAACTTCCTTACTTTCCAGTTTTTCCTCCTATGGCCCTGTATTCAGGATCAACAAAAGAAAAGAGATAGTGAGTTCTGGGCACCCCTTTGTATGCATAATGCCCAAGCTCAAACCCACTACCATCAAGTGACCCTACAGGACGGGGTAGGACTGTTCCTTAGTGTTCCCAAAGCTATAAATCTTTATGGGAACGGTCAGGCTCCGGGGCTGGTGAACTGGAACTGCTGACCTTGTCCTGAGCAACCATACTACCAGAGCTCCTACATCAGGCCATTTGCCGAGTTGAAAAACAGAGATCAAATACAACTCCAAGTGAGTCAAACTCAAAGCCTGGATATACAGGAGTCCCTAGTGTCCCAGTGGTTGGCATGCTCAACTGTGAACTAAAAGATTTGAGGTTTGAGTCTGCCCAGAGGTAACACAGAAGAAAGGCCTGGCAAACCCCCTTCTGAAAAAAAAAATCCCTTTGGAGCACAGTTCTACTCTGTCATACATGGGGACCCCTTGAGTTGGGATCAACTTGACCTCAACTAGCTATGCACAGGACCCTATATGAAGGAAATGTGAGGAATGCAAATAGGTTTAAGACATGGCCCTGCTCTTGATGCAAGGAAATCTTTAATCATCTGTGTGTGGTTACAAAGTAGTACATGCCCAAATCCAATCATCAGTATAGATAGTAGGTTCCAAAGAAACCACATGGGGATATTTAGTTGTGGGCTTTTCTGGGCGCGATAGAAGCTTAATGAAAACCTTTGGCTTCCGAAAGACCTCTAGTAACTCATGTAGGGCACACCAGTGTTAGATGCGTCAGAAAGAAGATTGCCTTCTCAATCAATCATCGAAAAAGCAAAATTGAGAACGTGCAAGGCAAACTCTGACCCTGGCTAGAATGAAGGGCTGCGGAGCAAGATTGAAAAGTAGGCGGGAGCTTAGAAAAGTAAAAAGGGGTGGGAGTTGCTGGTGGTTTGTTGAGTACAGACTGTCATTTGTAAATTTTAGATATGTTAATGTGTCCCAATGTCAATATTACAATGTGTGATATATGTAGATATGTTCATGTGTACCCATGTCAATTTACTCTATCTGACTAGATTAAAGGGAAGCTAGGGGGAAAGCAGTTCATTGGGCAATGACTAGGAGCCCTGGTGGAGTAGTAGATTATGCATTGGGCTGCTAACCACAGAGTCAACAGTTCAACCCCCACAGCTTCTCTGATGGAGAATGATGAGGCTTTCTACTCTGGTAATGATTTAGAGTCTCAGAAACCCACATGGGGAAGTTCCACTTTGCCCTGTAGGGTCACTGTGGGTCAAAATTTACTAAAGGGCAGTGAGTCAGGTTTGGGAGGGGGGGGTTGGTGGCGGTGGTGGTGGTGTGTGTGTGATTACAGCAATCCAGCCTTAAGACTACTACCAGGAACTTAGATTAGATCGTAGCAATGAAAATGAGAATTAACAGGGTTGTGACTGACATGGGAAAAAGGAACAGGGGTTGGCCTTTCTCAACAACATTCACCACTGACATCCCCCTTGGCTGGGAGCGTTGGGGCAGGTTTGGAGTCTTATTTTGCTTTCTTTCCCCAGCACCCTGCCACGCTGTGTGTGGTGCCTGGAAGATGCTAAATCTCTGCTTGCAATAGCCTTGAGTTACCTAGTCATTTCAGTGACCTAAGGGCGGTTTTTTTTACCATGACACTCCAAGTTTGGGTCTGTGAGTTCCCATGGAAAATTCAAATGACTTAAACTATCCCAGACCCCAAAAAAGCAAATTGTGAAACCAGAAGCTACATAGCTTTCATCTATCTTGTCAATGTGAAGAATCTTACTTATCTTCCACACAGATGGACAAGCACATATGCACATTTCCCAATATTTTTCATTGGGCTTGTATAGAAAACAATGGGTGGGGAGAAACCCTGTGATTATTTTGCTTTAATCGTGTCTTCTTCATACTGCCAAGTCAGAGGCATTTAAAGGGAACCGGTCTTGGAGACTGCCCAAGGCGGGACGGCAGAAACAAACAAATGACGGCCCTCAAGCTGATTCTGACACTTTGTGACCCTGTCGGTCAGGACAGCACTGCCGCTGTGGGCTTCTGAGCCCATAACTCTCTGGGGGAGTTGAAAGTCTTATCTTTCTCCAGAAGAGTGGCTGGTGGTTTCGAATTTATCATCCACTACACCACCAGGGTTCCTGAGAGGGCAAAGGAGGGAAGAGAAAGCAACGGTCTAGACTGTAGCTGATGTCAACTTGAGTGTGATGGAAGACAGTAGTCCACAAGAGGGAGAAGAGAAATCAAGGGTGGGTGAAAGGTAAGTGATTAGGGGATTTGATGAATCGTTTAAACGGTTGGATACAAAGTTGATGATCTGAAGCGTAGCCCCTTACCGAATTTACAACAAAAGAATTGCAGAAATGTCCAAAAAAGAAAGACGGAAGGAAGGAAGGGGCATAAATTATCTTGTCAAGCATTTCATCATTTCCAAAGATTCTCTTATTACCTAAAGAATGGAGCCAGGCAGCTTCCCTGTCGAGTCATATGGCAGAAAAGAAAACATTTCTATCGGTCATGTCATGTCACAAAGCAGCACCTTCTAAAAGTGTGAATGCCTGCTCTTTGTGGCTCAGTTAGTGAGGACACCCCAGTTCCCACTCCTGGCCTTTCCCTCCTGAGCAACAGACAAGACTGTCTTGCTCTCTTATGCCATGCCTGGGCAATGACCACATTCTCATGAGTCACTTGAAGGGAAGACACTGAGGATATGAAATCAGCAGACCCTGCCCACACCCGTGAGGGCCTTGCTGGGCATCAGAATGGGATGTGGAGATGACTGAAGTGGGTGTCTGGCCATCGTTCATGTAATGAGTCTTTCCTGAGAGTTTCTAAAGGATGTGAGCGTGCCCAGAGTTTCCAAGAATTGTGGCCGTTTAGTTGAAATCATCGACAGACTTTCCATCTCATTCACTCCACAAGTGTTCACTGCCCACAGTTGACCCCGGAGGATGCAGAACTGCAGCAGATACAAGAGTGCTTCAAAAAGTTCGTGGGAAAATGGAGTTGAAAGATAATAGAATTAAAAAAAAAATTTTTTAAGATAGTGGAATTTTCCCACAAACTTCTTGAAGCCCTCTCATACAAGAAGAGCACATTTGATATTTGCTCTTTGGGATTGTAATTCTTTCACAAAAAATTAATTAAAGAAAATATTATAGGAGAAATATATAGAAAATGCCCTCCCCTTCAAAGAATCTACGTTGTAGAGAAGAATCAAAGCACTGGAAATGTTAGTCACTGTCATGAGGGAATGAACTGTATACAAAAGGATTGGCTTGGATATAGTTCAATCTCACTCCTCCTCACACTTGCCACATTCCCCAAGCAGGATCATTCCCTCTTGGATGGAGATAACTGGGAAAGGCGGTCCTCTCATGGGACCCGAGAACCTCCACCTGTGGGGGATGGCGCACAGGTGTGTCCTGTCTCATGATGAGTCTTCCTGGGCTCATTCTTAGCAGGGCCTATGAGGTGGATTATTGTTGTGGAATTCAAAGAGGAAATGTTTATCAATTCCCTCAAGTGGTTTTGATATGAACCAGGGTTTCAAAACACTGAGGGAAAGAAACTGGAGACATTAAAAAGGAATATCAATTCACAGAGACTTCTGAATCCTTTTTTTAAAAACAAAGGAATATTATAGAACAGAATTCCTGACTGCATGCAGGTTTCTGTTTTCTTTATGTGAGAAAAAAATCATGATGGCTATTAAAATGATATTTTAATACTATTTTAATAGTCAATAATATTATAATACTAGAACAAGATATGCTCGACGTTTTCAGCCGTGGCTGGACACCAAATTGCTTGGAGAGCTGGGAACATGCAAATGCCTAGGTCCTACCCAGAGATTCTGATTTCATTGGCCTGGGGTGCAAGTTTAACAACTCCAGGGCACTGGGTTTTAGGTTTGTAGGCTCATATCAGAACTCGCGTGTTGACAAAGAATATTACAAGTATCATGGATTGCCACAAGAACAGACAAATCTGTCTGGAGAAAGCAGAGCTAGAACACTCCTTAGAAGCTAACTCGTAGCAGTGGGCCTCATATGCGTGTGAAAGTTGGACATTGAAGAAAAGCCCATGTGCTTGAATTATGGTTCTGATGAAGAATATTGAAGAGTACCATGGACTACCAAAAGAACCCATCTGCCTTGGATTAGTACAACCAGAATGTTCCTTAGAGGCAAGAAGGGAGGAGCTTCGTCTTACATACTTTGGACCTACTGTCAGGAGAGACCAGTCCCTGGAGAAGGACCTCGTGCTGGGCAGAGGGTCAGCAACAAAAGAGGAAGGCCCTCAATGAGATGGATTAACAAGTAGCCTCAACAAGGGGCTCAAACTGAAGAGCCATTGTGAGGACCGCACAGAACCAGGCCGCGCTTCCTTCTGTTGTCCAGACGAGTCAAAACTACACAAAGGCACTCAGCAACCACGGGGGATTTGAACGTGAACCCACAAGGCTTGCTCAGGCTACAGTGTACCAATCAAGCATCCAGTCACCCCTGGGTGTACTTCTAGTCCCTATTATCTCAGCATCCATTACTCTCGGCCAATTTTTAGCCATCCTGCACTTCCCACTGGGGAACTGTTATCCAAACATGGCACCAGTCCAGCCCAGACTTTAGTCTCCTCTCAGCCTCTAGCCTCTCTGCTTTCTCAGGGCCGCACTCCAGACTGGACTTAGTCTGTCTCCAAATTCAAGGAAAGGCATCACCAGCCACAACAACACAGGGCTATCTATCAAAGAGTGAAAATGTCATAACTCCTGTTACATTAAAGATTTATAATACGTATTGAAAAGAAAGAAATAGGCTGTCCCCTGGGTTCCTCAGTGGAGCAGTGCATTTCTCATTGGGCTGCTAACTTCAAGGTCTGTAGTTCAAAACCACCTGCCACTTTGGGGGAATGAGTTTTCTGCTCCTGTAAAGAAGAACAGTCTTGGAAACACACAGGGGCAGTTCTATTCCTGTTCTCTCGGGTCACAACCAGTCAGAATGGATTCAGTGGCTGTGGGTTTGGCTTTGGGAGTCCATGGGGCTCCGCTAGTCAACCTGTCCTAAAAATTGATGATGGATCCTTCATGAGTTTGGTGGTTTGTTGTGGTTGTTTTCCCCTGAAAATTATTATGATAGATTTCTTAAACCCTTAGAGTTAAGGTCATCTTCCACCTCTTCCCAAACTGGAACCCCAAGTTCCTATCTACACCTAAGCTTCACTAGCCCGAGCCCCATTTTCTGGATGTGAGTCTATGCTCAGCGGTGATTGCTCCTACCTTCTCCTTCTTAGACCCAGGGCGTCTGGAGATAGCATAGCGTCCACACACTTCCTTACAGAAACCAGCTCCTCCCTGCTGCACACAGCACATAGCATTGCCAGGAAGACAAGACCTTGGCTCGGCCCTGTAAAATTGCCTTGCCCTGGTGACATCATGTGTCTTCAGTTTCTTTCGCCCTGAACATTCTCATGTCCTCCTGTCACTTCTTCTAATCAGGGGCTGGTTCTGGCTTCCTCTCTTATCTGTAGCCTTTGTATTTCCTGACCTCTTGGCATGGCATGCCTTGCTACCTGTTAACTGAAAGCTCTTCAGTTCACCCCTCCTTACCCCCCAGACTGACAGGGGCAAGTATCTGTGGACACCTGGTGATTGCCAAGCCTGCCCCTCAGGATGGTGCCCATGCCCTCCTGCAGTGTTGCCCTCAGGCCTGATTTGGGTTTTACCACACCCTGCCCACCATCTGCAATGCCACTTCCTTGCTGTCAAGGGTAGACAACGTTTCTCGGGGTGAGCCGCTTGTTCCTCTTTCCTGGTGATACCGCAGAAAGGAAACCCAAACCCACTGCCTTCGAGTTGATTCTGATCCATAGTGACCCTCTAGGGCAGAGTAGACCAGCCGCGGTGGGTTTCCCAGGCTGTACATCTCTACCGGAGCAGAGAATCTCTTCTCTCTCTCTCTCTCTCTCTCTCTCTCTCTCTCTC